CTCTAGCAAAGGTAAAGAATTTAACTTAGCAGCCATGACATTAAATGACTATATCTATTAAAGTTTTAAATATACAATAAATTAAGTACTTATCCAGCCATTGGAATGTCTCTGATGTGTGTGATACCAATTGAAGGGCTAGACTCATCTTTGCGTAAAAAAATCTTTCCATTTACTGTCCAGATAAACTTATAATGTTGCTGTTTCTTGAATTCGAGGCACTTGTTAAATAATTTCTTGTTTGCCTGGGTTAGGCTTTCTGCTATATAAATTTTACGTTCAGCAGTTCTGAGAATACCAATATCTCGTGTTGTAATTTGACGGAGATTCTTCCTTGCCTTGTACAGTTGATCTCGAATATCACGCCGAATAAATTTGGCGATAATGGCGGGTTCCGTGTTCCGACTATTATTTCGATTAGCAGGCAGACGATGACTTATGGATATGTCGTTAGATTCAATTGCAACACCAATTACTTCACCAACTTTCCGAACAATTTCATTTGTCTTTTCTCCGGGTAACACCGGTATACCTCGGATTTCAAGGCATTCTCTCCTAGAGTACTGTTCTAGGTTATTCAGATCTTGTTTCATCAACTCAATGTTGTTGGTAGAACTAAGTAGAGATTCTTTAAGGAATTTATTTTCTTTAGCTAATTCGTTGTTAAAATCTTCCATAGCTATCACTTTTAGAAGGAGATCATCATATTTATCGCTCAGAAATGATAGAGATTGCTCTATTTTATCGATTGTGGCCACCTTGTTTTTTACTTCGTCGAGGGTCTCAAGGATAGGATTAAGTTTCTTGTCTAAAAGCTTCTCAATAAGATTTGTAAGCATCTTTTCATCCATCTTTAGATGAAGGTCTTTGTAAAGGTTAGAATTAACGAAAAACAAACAAAGAATGTGAAGTTATTGTGAAAATATTTCACTTTTAACATTCAATTTGTCGGGAGCTCAATATTTTACAAGCCGAGAATGTTTTGTGCCGAGATTGAAGTTTATCACAATGTGAGGCACCATACGTTGTCTGAAATCCACATTTGCAGGAAATTTTATATTTGACTTTCACAGGAAATTTTTATTTTTGGATTTTGCTGCCAGGACTAGAATAATATATTTTCTAGGTGACTATAGGTCTGGTCCACATGCAACCTGCACATTGAGGAATTTGAATGAATAAGACAAAAGGGAGGGGGGCTGATAATAACTAATATAGCATAAAAAACATGCCAAGCAGAACTACCGATAATAACAAGCGGAGAAAAACATGTCAATGTCAAGCGGAAGATTAGGATTTTCTCGGGCCGAAGCGGAAGATTAGGATTTTCCGGGTTTTCTCAGGCCTAGGATTTTCTCGGGCCGAGAAAATCCTAGGAGGGGCCCAAGCAATTTTAGCATGCACTGGTTGTGAAAACGTGATTGGACGCCCACGCTATCGCTGCATAATAGTAATATAGCTCTTTTTTGTTGTCCACGCTTGGCCCGATACGGCTCTAAATCTATTACCCCTAAAAGCGTGGTGTTTTGAATAGAGATGACTATAGTTACAGCATCTTGCACAAGATCACCACTAATGAACTCATTAGACTGCAGTGTCGAAACGTTGGATCCTCCTGAATGTTATTGTTATTGTTATTCGAATGCAGGGTATTGCATTCATTTCCTTGGACCAGAGTGGCGAGTGAAAACATGCCTGCTACAAGGAAATTATTAAACGAATTTTGTGTTTAGAATTACGATGCATTGATAGTGCGTTCAGCGACCAAAGTTACCGACGAGGTACTTAAAGCTGGCAGAAGATTGAAACTCGTTGGACGTGCTGGTACTGGAGTTGATAATATTGATATCAAGTCAGCAACACGAAATGGAGTCATTGTCATGAAGTATGCGCTACATTACTTGGCTATATACTTGCATTATTGGCTGTTTACAGTAGTTGTTATTATTTTCTCTTTAGATATTCTTCAAATTCTGCACTAATACATTGAGTTAAACCATCAGCAATCAGAAATGTTAATTTGAAACACTCCCCAATATAGCCCAATCTTTTAGTAATCTTCTATTTTAAATAATCTACTGTGATTTTAAACGTTGCAAATCCGTGAACATTGCACGGGGGGGGGAGTCTTGGCAACATTAAGGTCTGACTCCATCAAATTCGTTGTGGAGAAACTGAATGTTTGTGCCGGAGGTGGTTTTTTACAACGTGAAAATTTTGCGAAAGTCAAATTACTTCTTTTTCTTTGCGCTTTTGAGTACCACTATATATAGTTAAATTCTTTGTATGTTTGCATGGCGATAAAATATATAATAGTTTTGTTTGTGGAAACACCACGTAAATTTATTACTGCAAAGCTTTCGATCGAAAGCTTTGCAATAATAAATTTACGTGGTGTTTCCACAAACAAAACTATTATATATATGTAGTTAGTTGACATTGTAAACCAATTTGATAAACCAACAAATGACCAACTATTTTGACCAACTTTAGACTCCCCGCATCACATGCAGTAGCGACGTCCCTGCACCTCAAGCTGTGGTAAAAAGGTTGGCGGCTAGCATTTTGATTTCCAACACACAGTGTTTCAAATCTCTGTAAAGTATAAATCAGCCCATTCTCGTGTATGTTGATATCTGCCATTATACGTTTTAATTTAGCACACCAAGTGGTAATACCCTGAGTGCAGCTGAACATACATGTGCTATGATTATTTCATTAGCAAGGTCAGTCCAGTATATTTTATCATGGTAATTGCTCTGACTCTTTCACAATCCCTCAAATTTGCTTCGAAAAAAACATTAAAATCATGCAGGCGCAAATTTGATCGCAAATTTTGCACATTCAATTTGGTCAGTGCCACCTGCAAGTGCATGACTACTACGTATAATGAAGAAAATAACTTCATTCTCTCACTTTGAGAGACTCAATTTGTCTGCTGCACCAGGTTGCTTAATAAATTACCCGCATATTGAATCTTAGCCTTCAGGAAAATAACTTGTTTCGGCTGAGAATGTTTTGATGTTCTAGAAATATACCTCAGGCAGCAGCGTCGATGCGCAATGGAAAATGGGATCGCAAGAAGGTATTGTGCAATATACAAAATGGGAGCTTTCTGTTGCCATCTAGCTGCTATACAGGGTGTATAAAAAAAAACTGAACAGATTTGAAATTGCTCTCAATTTCGCAAAACACCTATTTGTATCTGGTTTTTTATATATATAGCTTCTTTGGGTACT